TGCATGCTTTCGCCACCAATCTTGTAGGTGAAAATGGCGTTGCATGTCCCTTCAATCTCCACCAAAAGCGGAGACGAGCTGTCAAACAGGACATTCTCGAACATGAGGTCCCATGTCAACGTGCCCATGGCAAAGCCGACAACATCGGCATTTTCGCGAAAGTCTTCCATGACTGGTTGATAAATAGTCCCTCTGGGGTGATCTGGGTTGTTTTGGTTTAGATTGTCGCCAAGCAGGAAATGGAGGTCCATGATGCGGGAGTATTGCTCGACCTTTTTCATCTTAATGTCCCAGAGGAGGTGCGCAAAGACGGGAACGGTAGCCAAATCGAGGTTGATGACGGAAGTGTCGTTTTGTGCAGGAGCAATTTGCCAAAGGGGGATCTCGTAGTCGAACTGCGGATCTTCAAAGACATAATCTTCTTGGGTGAGACCGCTGCCGTTGTATTGATGGATGGAAGTAGGAATAGGAGCAGCAGCATGGGTCCAATTGCGATAGTTATAGTCTTGTTGGATCCAGCCTTGATTGTCCACAGAGTATTGTTCCCAGCCGGCCCGATTCTCGGGTGTTACAAAGGGTGCAAAGCCGACAAACTCTAGGTTTCCGGTCTTTTTCTTCAAGTCATGTGCGTGAATGTCGAAGTAGGGGAGAGTGCAGTTTGGCCAAGAACTGTTGGTGTCCAGAGCGTGAGATGTGATGGACTTGCTGAGATCCCAGAGCTCTTCGAACATGCGCTTCGAGTTGGCTTGAGCTTGCTTCAAGATCTCCCGCGAGTAAGCCGAGAACTGTCAAACGAACAGAAAGCAATCGGGTTAGTCACAGTTGGAGTTAACCCCAGCCCTAATGCGCAACGTGAATGACCTACCTCCACCTTCATGGTGTTTTCTTCCTCGCGTGCCAAGAAGATATAGGCCACAGTCGACACTGCGGCTGCCGCAATGAAGAGTACACCATACACTACCATCTTGGAGCAGTAGACTTGTTGGCTCTCTTGCGAGCTTAGAATTTTGTCCGGCTCGCCGTCACTGGATTCCCGTCTACTGCTCCCGCTTTCCATGTCGGAGCCGCCTCCTTCGACATCGCTATCATAGGAGGATGAAGCCATCGAGTACTCGTCGTCAAAACCATCGTATCCAAAGTCTTCTGTTAGAGGAGCGTGTTCCATCTTTTCCATGGCGGAGGAGTTACTCTAGTAGTTGTTGGCGAAGTCAAGGTGTTTGATGGAAGTCGTGTCTTTTTGTCTTGTTTTATGATGGTTTGATGGTTTGATGGAGTCTGGAGCGATGAGAGCTTGACAGTTGACTGTTCATGCAGAAGCTGCAGAAGGCAGCTCTAATTCTGTGGTTTGGTGGTTTCAAAGGGGCAGGAACGCTCAAGAAACAGCTGTCTTCCAAACTCCAGCCAACCAGCCAACATATTTACTTGCATTATTATGAGTACAGTACCCCGTACCGGTACTGTACTAATGTACTTACCGTATTAAATATTATTTGCCGCTAACAATTGCCGCAGCTTTACTGGTTTTGAGTCTCCTCGACTCGACTCGGTTCTGCTGTACTAGTAAGGCCTTGTTAAGATAAACAGGCACCCTGAAAAGGGAAAGGGAAAAGTTTACTGGCAGCCACCACGCAACTAGTTTCCGTCGCTTACCTTGAATACAAGATATGCAGTATGTCATACCGTATTTTCGGGATTGCTGATACATGTAGTGCTCCTGTGCAGCCAATTGCGATTGTTGGTGCCATGAATAATAGAAGACGCCTGCTAGCTAGACTGTACTAGTAGCTACTACTGAGTAGGAAGGCTTAAAAGCAGTGACGCGATGACACAGTTCCCTCCTGTATAACGCCAGATAAAATTTTATCAGTCTTTTAACAGCCAAAGGCAGAAACTTGCCAAATGGCAACTATTCTGAAGACCATTTATTTGTAGAAATTTCAATTTTGTTTATCAGCTCTTTGATATCTTGTATGGGAAAGATTGATGAGAGTCTACAGTAGACTAGTAGCTATTTTTAGTCCCCGCACAACTAACTTGTGTGTTCCGAGCGTCCAAGCTTTCAAGCTTTCATGCTTGCACCTCTAGCAAATAATTGGATTCTGAGATAGATGAGGAGTTCTCAGACTGGCAATCTTCTCAAATAATCTACAAATCTACCCATCAAGGGAACGGTTCATTGACTTTTTACTCTATATCTGCTTCTTTTTACCGGGTGAGTCATTATAATTCAATATCAGGCTCCAGCTTCCATTCAGGTTCCTCGCTCGTAATGACTTTTTAAATCCTGGTGATTCAGTTTACAAAGGGTGGCGAGTGGTGACGCACTGGTGAGTGTTGAGGTAAGCAGGAATTATAATTATTACGTCTTCGAGAGCAACACTAAGTCAGTTTCTAAAGCGGTTCTATTCTTCCATTCTTCGCTCTTCGCTGGCAGGTGAGAGGGTGAGAGGTGAGTCTTTGACGCCGTCTTTGAGCAGCTATGAGCAGCCTGCCTTTGCTAGCTAGCTATTTTAAAATTGTAGCTAGTTTGGCATTGTCCATGCTACGGGATGAATCGAATCGAAATCCAATCGGGGCCGCGCTTGTACTGTACGGTAGCCTGTGCCGGGACCAGTCCCGTCAGCTTGTAGTCAGCTAAGCTGGTTTTGGGTTCTTGGCGCCGCTTCCTGCTAAAGGCAAGTATCCGGCGGTACTCTGGTAGTACATGTAGGCACCAGTTGCCCTACTAGCTAGCTTGACTACCTGCCAAAGTCTGCTCTTCCATGGCTCCTGCCGCAGCTAGCTAGTCTAGCTAGGGGATGAGCAGACTTGCCCATAGCCCTGCATTGTATTTGATAGCGTTTTTTGTAAAAGTGTCTGTGAAAAGGAGAATATTTGTTTTCGGCTGCAATTTTTCTATTGGATTAGATCGGATCGGATTGAATTGAATTGGATTGCATTGAATTCGCCCACCTTCCCAGACAGGGAATGAAGAGAATTCTACAGAACGGAGAGTATGAGTTAACGGGAGCCGACCATAAGGGAGACTGACGGACAGGAATCGGGAGAGCCACTCATCCAAGGATGAGGTGGTGGACCGAAGTGTCGGGTGCGCAGGTGGTGTGCCTATGTATGGTGTTGATGACTAGCTAGAGGGACTACTAATCGGGCGGTTACAAATCAGGTTCACTTTTTTTGAACCAGAGTTGCAGCCGCCGACACCAATTTTCCTTTTTGACTGGGGGTAATTTAGTGTGAGCGTCCGCAATCTGAAAAAGTATCTGCTGCCCGACAGTGACCGCCTCCCCCGCCAAACCTTACTCTGAAGAAAAGTAAGCATGGACTTAGAGTTTGATGACGCCAGCGGCGGGTCACACAGTGTGACTTCCTTTGGGTCCGGTGTCGGAGATGGGGGCGTTTTGCACACCGGCAGAGTGGTGTGCAAGGAGATGTTTTGTCGAGCCCGATTCGTCATGAAAGGTACCGTCTATGTTTGTTTCAGTGGCCGTGGTATCGAGTGTAACAGAGCCGGTCACCGAGGAGCTACTCGGTCCCACCAGGTGGGGTACTCCTTTGAAGGGGTGCTTAGACGCAATGACCAATACTTTGACGGAATCGCTAGTACCGCCTTGTCCCCCCACGAAACGGCCGCTCTTCAAGCCAAAGAGCGAGCTGAGGACAAAGCCGCGCTCCATGAAGGACCCGCCGAACGCTCTCCCGGGATAACGGTGGAAACCGTGAACATGGGATCGCCTGACGCCAAACGAGCTTTTTCGAGTGGAAGCACCAAAGGACGTGGAGGGTCGATCTCCTTCGAAGGCGAAGAAGCCCCCGGCCTCGCCGGGACCTTCTCGGGCGATACCGGCGGATCTTTCAGCACCCCCATCCCCGGTCATCAGAAGATCGCTGCCCGCAAGAAAACACCCGAAGGCTCGCTGAACGAGGCAGAGAGGGCCCGAAAGATCTCGGAGCTGGCCGCCCAGGAACGAGCTAAGGAGGAAGTCGCCCAAGAGGAAAAGCGGCTCGCGGCAGCAAACTATGAGCAATAACGAGCCACTGAGATGGCAGTCCAGAAGCTCCTACGTGAACAAGAGGCAGCCGGAGCACAAAGAGCGAAGGCCGCTGAGGACGCCAAATACAAGCAGGAAGCAGAGGTTCAGCAACGCGTTGAACAAGCCCTGGCCCCCAAGGCTCGCCAGGAAGAACTCCGAGATAGGCACCCGGGGAAAGGCGACGGTACGGCTCCGGCGACACCCAGCTTCTCCCGTGGAGTACCATCCAGTCCAACCAGCCGCTTTTGGTACGGGTATGTGAGCGGGGTCAATGGAGCATACGGAGTGGTCAACGGACAGCGCAAGATGCAGCCATTCGCCAGCGATAGGATTCTTGCCTGTGCCGGCAGCACGGCTGCCGAAGCCTGGGAGTGGGTGAGTGCCGAACTCGGCCATACAGCTGACAACGCCCCGGCCCCCGACGAGATCCGGCGATGGGAAGCCCTCGAGCCCGCCAAAAGTCGAGTGGTACGAAACCCAGCCGGCCCACCCAACATGCTCGCCCGAAAGGACCCGTCTACCAAGGACAAGGATGCGATCTACAACATCCCCATCAAGGAGGGGACGGCAGTTCTCGCGAAAGGTTTGGCCCCAGAAGGACTCAGTCCGCGAACGGCCAAAACAATGGGCAACACCATGCTAGACGTATTGTCCCTACCAGGTAAGACACAGAACGGTGAACGCGACGATGTAGCCAGCGAAATCAGAGATTATCTCTTCGCCGCCGTCAGCCGCCAAACTGTCGACGACGAGGAGGTGCCCCCCGACCTCAAGTGGCAGCAGCCCTCCAGAAACTCAGTCTCAGCCTGCAAGAACGACGAAGACCTAAGCTAAAATCGGGAACTCAAGTGAGATGTGGAAGAAGTGGAGGAGCAACACCTTTGCCGGTCCCTCGAGCAACAACGCACCATCCTCGTCAGGAACGACTACCCTCTGAGCCTCGCAGACACCTGGAGTAGCGAGGGATTTATGGCCACACTCACCCGCAAGGGAATCAAGTAATACAAAGCCTTCCTTGACCATCTCATTCAGCTGTCGTCCAGCCAAGTATGGAACGCCACCACCACGGTCATCGAATTCTATGTGAAGAAGTGGCGCATCATTCGGCCCAATTGCCATTCCCGGCTCCTAGCCCTATGCCAACTTTATGTCAACCTCCGCGATGGATATGAAAACGACTGGCTGCACCTCAAACTCACGACAAGGAAGTGAACTCCCTGCTCACGGAGACTGGAGGAGCAGAAGGTGCCCGGAACGGAGGAGCTTTCCCTCGCGGAATCGCCCTCTGCCAGAAGTGCGAGACCATCCTCCACGGCGGGACGGGCTGCCCCTGGACTGCCCTACGTGGAAATGCGGCAAAACAGGCAGGCAAGGAAGCCCTACGTCGTTTGGCAGCTGTTGAAGCAGCACCTCCGCCCGAATAAGGAAGGCAACGCCACCTTACCGCAAAGCCCGTAGGGGCCCAGAAAACTATAT